CCCTAAGGCGATCGGATGATGTCTCCTGGATCAAGAATGGGGAGAGTGAAATATACTCGTCCACGTAGTGAGAGCCGACCTGCGACACTGCAGCTGTCACAAATCGGCTTTATTGATCGAGAACTGAGCGATCACAGACCGATCTCAGACCGCTGATCTCTCAGTCATCTCTCTCTGCAGGGATTCCCCCCTCCCCTCTCTGTTCCTCCGGCACTCATTGGAGGAACAGACAGGGAGGGGGCGGGCATAGCTGGCCGGTGGGGGGGGATTCCTCCGCTTGGTAGGCTCTCCGGGCTGAGTCTGCTGAGCGGAGGACCGGCAAATCTGTGAGACATTTCATTTGGTAACGTTGGGTTATATTTTCTTCATGCAACCTGCGGGCTCAACAAAGAAAATAGAACAACATCAATTAACCCTTTCCCTGCCACCGACGTATGGCATACTGCGGAACAAAAACGTTCCCAGCTGGCCGGCTCAGTATGCCATAGTTCGGTGGCACGGAAACTGTTGATCCAGAGGAAGGCGAAACCCCTTGTGACGCGTGGGCCAATTTGCTCCAGAAGGGTAAAAAGAAAAAATCCTTCCTTACTCCCTGAGGTGATCGGATAATGTTCCCTGGATCAAACATCTAATTTGGTTGGTGGGGGGCAGTTGTGGGATTTCTCCATCCATGCTCTTTAGCGTGGATGGAGGAATCAGTTATATTTTTGTTTTGGTTGGCCCTGTATTCAGGTGACAGTGAATACTCACCTTCCAGGCCTTGCTGTCTTCCTTCAGAAGCTGCTCTGCCCTCTTTCTCCTCAGCGCAGCTCTTATCTCCTTCCTGATGATGTTGGCCAGGGCAATTTTCCTCAGTTGTTGATAGTCTAGCGGGGCGTCGTCTGGTATGTCACCATCGTCGTCGGACATATCCGGTGGAGATATTCTATTTGGCGCCATCAACTCCTCAATTTCCTTCCGCCTTGCCCTGGCTATTTCCTCTTTCATCTTTCTCACAGCTCTCCCTTGGTCCTGGCGCTCCTGGAACAGTCGCTGATGGAGCCCATAAAAGGAGCGTTTCAGGACACGGAGATCTGCGACGACCTCCTCGTCCGTATTCCCTCTCGTCACTTCCATCCTTTTTAGCTTGGCGCTCAAGAGCTGCAGCTTGCTTTTAAGGCGCCCGACTTTTGCGTTGGCAATTTCAACGGATTTTGTTGTCTTTTTTTTGATGACTTTTTCTTTCCATCCATGCACCTTCTTATCCATCATGATGTGGTCCTCAATCTCTTCTTGAAGCAGATGTTCATAGTCCTTGTTCTCGACGATCAATTGCCTGATTTCCTCTTTAACGTGCATGTCCTGACCGCGTCTGCCCGGTTTATTGTCCAACGTGGTCATCTCTTTCCTGGTTGGCATCTTCAGCTGTGTGTTAAAAAAAAAAGGAGAGATGGAGATTGTGACGGCAAATAGCTGGATATCCTGACGATACCTGGGCCTTAGAAAGGCAGTTCTGAGATACAAAGCTAACACTGCTGAATAAGATGACGGCCATTTCTGGCTTAGTCTTCTGAAATGTAAATATAAGTCACATGACCGAAGTAAAAATCCCTATCTCTGAGGTTAAAGGATTGTGTTCTCAGCCAATGGGCTACAACCCAACGATTGTTGCAATACACAGTTAAGACTACGAAATATGGGGCTTATTTCACCCAACACCATGAGGGGACTTATTTTATTCTGCTTACGCCACGATTGGGTTTATTTTGTCGCTCTGTCGCCAACGTTGGGGCTCCTTTTTATCCCACTTCTAGTGACAGTACGAATTCTATCCCTCTGACACCAAAGAGTTTCCCTCAATTGCCCTTTATTTTATTACACTGACACCAACAATGGGATTGATTGTAACCCTCTGACACCAACAATGGGACTGATTGTAACCCTCTGACACCAGCAATGGGACTGATTGTAACCCTCTGACACCAACAATGGGACTGATTGTAACCCTCTGACACCAACAATGGGACTGATTGTAACCCTCTGACACCAGCAATGGGACTGATTGTAACCCTCTGACACCAGCAATGGGTTTATTTCTCTCCAGGTGACACCAGCTATGGGGCTTAGTTTGTTCCTACAGGTACCAGTAATTGGCTGTAAAATGCTCCAGATCTCAATGTCACCAACAATTGGGGATACATTTTTCCCACTGACACCAGCAATAAGGAGTTTCTTGTATCTTACTTGGATAGAAGAATGTACACCGGCACTCCAATGAGCAAATTATTATTATTGTTATTATTATACAGGATTTATATAGCGCCAATAGTTTGCGCAGCGCTTTACAATATAAGGAAGTCATTACAGTCACAATACAATTTAAGACAAGATGGTAAGGAGGGCCCTGCCCCTGAGGGCTTACAATCTAAAAGGGAGGGGCCAGTGATACATGAGGCGGGAGCTGTGTGGGGAGGAATTGTTTGAGAACGTGATGGTTCAGTGGTTAGGTTGAGGTGGGATCGGCTTCCCTGAAGAGATGAGTCTTAAGGGATCGCCTAAAGGCAGTCAGTGTGGGAGATAGACGGACAGGTTGGGGTAGAGAGTTCCATAGGATGGGAGACACTCTAGCGAAGTCCTGGAGGCGAGCATGGGAGGAGTTGATGACGGAGCTGAAAAGCAGGAGGTCTTGTGAAGAGCGGAGTGGACGCTTAGGGTAATACTTTGAGACCAGTTTGGAGATATAGCCGGGGGCAGAGTTGTGGACGGCTTTGTACGCGGTTGTTAATATTTTGAATTTTATCCTTTGGGCTATAGGAAGCCAGTGTGGGGATTGACAGAGGGGGGTGGGGGATGGAAGCCGGTG